ACCCGTACGCGCTAGCCTTCTAAGCTAACGCCGTAGCGAGCAGGATAAGAGGCGCCGCCTTATAGGCGCGGCTAGCACGCGCGTACTAGTAATAACTACTGCTATAGCGGCGCCCGACTTAGTCGGCGTAGGGGAGCTCTTATAATGCGCACCGTATATAAGGGGCTACGCGGGCGGCTCTAGCCTATACTTAGCGTTTATACTTTAAGAAGTTAGCGGAAAATAGCTACTACGCTCGCTAGGTAGCGGACTTATAGGGGTAGTAGAGGCGGAGGTAGGGGTAGAGGGGCCGGGCGTTATAGCTAGCGGCGGGGATAGCGTCGTTATATAGAAGGGCGATATAAGGGCGGCTAGCGTAGTAAAGGTAGAAGCAGCGGTAGTAGGCGCGGTTATAGGGGCGCGGGTAAGAGTAGCGGTAGTAGTAGAGCTATTATTAGCTATACTTAGTACGGCGTCGATAAACGACTTTATACGCTCTAAGAAAAAGGAAGTAAAGGAGGGGGAGGTAGATATATCTATTATAGAAGTTAATATTATAGATTATAGCCTCCTACTCTATAGGGCGGAGAACTTACTAGTTAAAGTTATTATTATTAGGGCTATTATTACTACTATAGCTACTACTATAAGTATATATTAATAAAGCGGCCTATATAGCTAGGAATAAACTAACCCCTTAAGTAAAGTAAAACTTACTTATTACTACTACTACTATAGTTAAAGAAAGAGGAGAAGGAAAGGATAGAGGAAGGGGGGGATACCGCTTTATATACCCTTAGGTAGAGGAGGCTGCTTAAGGCTAAGGGGACGGGCAACCTAAGGCTTACGTAGGTCTAGGGTAGCCGCCGGCTACTTAGGGGCGTATATAATAGGTCGTGCCCTTATTTAAACGGCTAGCCGGCCGATAAGTATAGAGCTTAGTTCCGGCTGCCTAGGCTAATAGGCGCGGGGATAATAGGGCTAGTAGGGCCTATATAATTAACGGGAAAGGGTAGGGTAGAGCTAGCGGTATAGGCCTAATAGTATAGAAGCCGTTAATTAGGCAACGCCGCGCCGCGCTTAAGGGAGGGCATTATATAAGAGTCTTTAACTATTATAGGTTATAGGCTTAGGCTATAGCTTAAGCCGTATAGTTATATATAGAGGGCCGGATCCTATACGTATATATATAGGCTAGCCGCGTATAGGAGAGCTCTATATAGCTTATTAATATTATCCTATAAATAGCACCTACGCCTATGCCTCTACCTACTCCGTAATACTAGCTAGCTAATAAGTATAGAGCTAGGTTCTAGCTACTTAGGCTAATAGGCGTAGGGATAATAGGGCTAGTAGGGCTAGTACGATTAATAAGAAAGGGTAGGGTAGAGCTAGTAGTATTAGCCTAATAGTATAGAAGCTATTAATAGGGCAGCGCCGCGCTATAGTTAAGGGAGGGCATTATATAAGAGTCTTTAACTATTATAGGTTATAGGCTTAAGCTATAGCTTAAGCTATATAGTTATGTATAAAGGGCCGGATCCTATATATATATATAAGCTAGCCGCGTATAGAAGAGCTCTATATAGCTTATTAATATTATCCTATAAATAGTACCTATATATATACCTTTACTTACTTTATAATAACTAGCTTTATTAAATATTATACTAAGGCATTCTAGCCTATTTATTAACCCCCTAACTTATAGGTAATAAGGTATATAAGAACTAACCTATACTATTAAAGCTATTAGTCTATACTTTAGCTATAGATATAATAATAGCGTTAGCTAATAAAAGTATATTAAAAGACCGCGAGTTATCTATATCCTAACTATTACGACTATCGCCCTTACCCTTAACTTAGTTATCTATATTATTAGCCTTAGATTCTATATTAAATAAAATCGTTATTAGCTTATTTAAATATCGCTTATAAATAGCGGGTATATAGTTTAAGCTTACCTCTACCTTAAGGGATAAAGCTTATTATAAGGTTATAGAAGTAAATAAATACTACTACTACGTTAATAGCTATAGTAGCCTTAGCTATAGCTACTTTATCTACCTACCGCCCCTTAGGGGAGGAACCTAAAAAGCTTAGCTATTAAGAGTAATAGTAAAAGTTATTATTAAGGTAAGCGAATCTTTTATAAGAGTAAGTAACGCTATTCGCCTATAAATAGTTAAAGAACTTTACTAAGAAGTATTATTAAGAGTATAAGTACTAGATGCCTTAAATATATAAGCGAGCCGCGCTTACTACTCTAGCTAACGCTCCCTTTACCTTAGCTTAAATATACTCCCTAGGCTCTAAGTGCTCTTAGGCTTTCGTATTATTCCGTCCGGCCGTTTATCTAAAATAACGTATAAGGCTAGACCTACGTAAGCTAGCCTCTTATTTCTCCCGTTTACTCTCTACTAATTATATAGCTATCGGACTATACTAAACACGGCTAGAAGGATACTATAGAACCTCCTCGTAACCCTACTATAGACCGTCTTACGCTATTAGTAGCCCGTTATACTTAGTAGCTCTAAGTTAGCCTTAGGCTCTATATATTAGTCCTTAATTAGTATTAGTATTCCTATCTTATTATTATATTCTACGGCCTAGATAAAAGGATAAGGCTCGGTACCTAGTTATAGGCGTCCTTAGAGCGCCTTTTCCTAGATTACGTTTAGCATAGTAATATATACCGCGTCGTCTCTACGCGGCCCTCTATTAATAGCTAAAATTAATAAAAAGGGGCTTAGTTATGCCTTATATAGTATATTAAAAAGAGTCCGGCTAAGGGAACGCCGGGCCGTGTCCTTTATATTAATAGACTATACGCTAGCCTTTCCTCCTCGTATTATACCGGTCTATAGCGCGAAAGGGTAATTTAGCTTATTAGGGATAGCGCCGGTTTAGCCGTGTTAGTTAATAGACCTGCCCCTTATATTACGTATTAGCGCTATTAGTAACCGCGTATTTTCGTAACCAACTAAGGGGCTTATAGGCTTCCTTTACCTACTAAATAGGGGGCTAGCGTCTAAGGGGGCAGCTATAACGGTAAGAGATAAGATAATCTAAGGTTAGGTTAGGGATAGAAATATATAGCTAGACGGATAATAATACCTAGATATAATAGCTTTATTTAAGTTAAAGAAGGCATACTACGTAACGATAAAGATATATATATTTAGTAGTAGTAGTAGCAGCGGCGGCATTTCTAGAAGAAAGGGGCGTAGACGCGTCTAGCGGTAGAGGGCGAAGTAAAGAGGTCTATATAGAGGTCGGCGGTAGACTAGCGGTATAGGCGAGATAAAGACGGCGTGCATAAGGAAGGCGGGCGGAGGCGGAGGACAGGGTGCGGCAGTAAGGGCCGAGCGTATTATAGAAGGAGAGAGAAGTTAAGAGTATATATCGACGAGCGAGGGTAGGTATTAAGATATTTATATTCCTACTATATCGAGCGTTATAACTAGGATCACGGGGCAGGGGCGGGGTTAGGGCGGCGGGGGCGCGATACCCGATCAGGGAGGGGCTATTTCCCGAGGCGGAAGCAGCGCGTTAGAGATTACTAATATAATATACTTATTATTGCTTAGATTACGCCCTATTATATCTGCTAATATAAACCCCTCGATAGGTTTATCCCTTAGGAATAACACCGGTCGTTATATATATACTCGAGGTCTTTTACTAGTCGTATTATAAAGAGTAGAGACTAAGTATATAATCTAAATTAAAGAAATTTTTATAAATAAAGTAGTATAGTAATTTAGTAGGTTTAGGTTTTAGTATACTTTGCGGACCTTAGCTAATATGCCACCGTATCTAGTAGAACTCGGCGATACCATCTGCCTAAATTAGGTTTTGGCCCTTTTTACGGACCTTAGCTTATATGCCCCGGTAGTAAACCTCAGTACTTATGCACTGTGGAAAGCTATGGACCAGGCTTCTAGTCTTCTACCATGCATATAAACTCACCAAACACGCCCGGGTCCATAGGGACGGCCAAGCCCATGTTTGCGCCTTCAATGGCTGCGGAAAGGTATTTAAGGCGGCTTCTCATCTAACTTTGCATAACATAAGACAAGACACGTAGAGGAATTCTTTTGAAATATTTTTGGATAATTTCTTTTTGCGAGGAGGGCGACTGGTACTGGCTTTTACAACTTACATGAGCTCCGCGAAGCATGAAGCATGGCATCGCGACAAGCTGCCATTTCGCTGGGAGGAGCCTAATTGCGGTTGACCTTCAAAATCCTCAAGGCACTTGTACAGTACTGTTGGGCAACAATCTTTAATTAGGTAAGGGATGCCTGTGTAAGCAGGGCCAAAGGAGCCTCACACACACATCAACTCAAGGACAACCCATCTCTACGTATTGAGGCCAAGGGAAATTGCAATTCCGTATCAGAACATCAAGACCATCAGGGTAGGGCTATTAGCAGCTATATCAGGGTCTGGAAGAGGTATCTATACGTATAAATACCCCCTTGGGTCTCACGTAGCTAGAAGAGGGCATGCATCTGTCACATCAATTCTATTGCCCCCGATCACTTCCACATGCGCTCTCGAACACCTGTTCGAGAAGTACAGACGTAAGAACGGGCAAGTTGGTCTGGCGGTTTAGCTCCGTCAGATACCCAAGCGGACCATTGGCGAATAGTATCGGCAAGTCATTGGTGCACGCCGGAACAAGGCTTTAGAGGTGATCGTTGCCCATCTTTCAGCATTACCGCCGAATGGCAAAATCAAGTTTCGAACAAAGTACAAGCGTATGGCTCGCAGCATATTGACTGGCTCGATGATGTACTTGGAACTGATATTAACCCTAAACTGTCTGTTGGCGACGCTCTCTTTCTTCAAAAGGGGATGCGCTGGCCGCCGCTCGTCCTTCTCACTCGCGGTAACGCCGCATCTTACCCTTTCACTCACAAGGGAGCGTGGCAAAAAGACAGCAGTAGTCTGCGCACTTGGCAATGACATTTGGTTTTGACTGCATGCGCCGCTCGAGGCGGCTCCGGTCAAAACGACTTCATATCCTCATCCAAGCAGTAGGCCATACTCGGGTGACTTTCTTGCGAGCCGTCTGCTTCTGCGTAACGCTGTACTTGTGTCTCCAAGCTTGTAGCAGTCAAGTTGTTTTCCCCGTTTGCCGTCCGCTTGGTTTCTCGAGATAGAAAAGACAAGGGTCGATGCATGTGTTGGTGGCGATGGAAGCCGGCGGCCCCAGGTGGCATTGCTCGTTTCGCCTCGTTTGCGGGCTCTGTCCCGTTGGGTATTTCTCCGGGTCTGGCGGTGTCTGCTCTGTAGCGGGACAGATGACGACGGACGCTGCCGGTGGGATTCTCTGTGACGCTTGTCGACGCCATGTGAGCAAGTTGGCGCTTCTACAGGCCCACTTCTGTTGGCGCTGTTGTCTTTTGTCGGCGCGGTTGGGTCCGGGCGCGGGCCCGGACGACGGAGAGCCTCGGGGCGCTGCGAGGCATCGGCCGCGGGCGGAGTGACGGCACTGCGACTCGTTTGGAGGCTGGACGCCGCCGACTTGATGCGCATATCGGGCGCAACCGACGCATCAGCATCATGATGTCTTCTCTCGCGCTTTCGTCCGGCTGACGAGGCAGGAAGAAGAGGACTCGGCGACCGATGAGGGAGACTGTGTGTGCTGGAGGTGGACGGGTGCATTCCCTGGCACGTAGGAAGCGCTGACGTCGGTTACCTTTGTGCAACAAGGATGAAGTGACTGTAGGATAGGCACGTACACGACGAAATCCAGGCCTCCATCTTTGTCCGGAAGTGAAGCGTGTATTGGTCAATCTTATCTTGCTTGACCTGCGCCGTTTCATCGATTACAACGGGTTTGGCGGGTTCACGTAGGGCGCGCTCAAGGGCGTGGTATTTCGAATCGAGGTGCTCGAACCGACGCCTCCAGAACGCCGGGCTCTCGAGCTCGGATGTTTGGTCGCCTCGGTAAAGGACTTGCTGGCCATCGATGACAACGTCGGCCTCTCTGATGTACGTATAGCCCTGGGGGCCCATCCAGGTGAATGCCTTGAGGGTCGCGTAGATCCATTTTTTTAAATGCTGCACCTGGGCCGCTGGTTGCTTCTCGGGAGGCGGGGGGGAAGGTGAGCAAGAGGGAGAGTTGAGCGCGCGAAGATTGGCATCCGTCAGTTGCATCATGGAGGCGACGCAACTTGTCATGGTCGAGCACGAGCTGCATTTGCTTGGAGACGGGCGACAGTGAAGATGAGGAGAGGGGGGGACAGCGGGAGAAAATGACGCCAGAAGCCTCTCGCCCCCTGGGTAAGAGGGGCGGTGACTGTATGTACATCGAAGTGGTTGGGGCCCGGGTATCAATATAAGTTAATATACGAGATGAAGGGGCACAGCCAACCGCTGCATCATCTAGACGCCGCGTTGCTGCATCGATTGGACGAGACGGCCTCCTTCAACAGCCAGCCAGACTTGCCTGCGCCCACACCACCAACCGAGTCTACTTAAGCCCATCTCTCTCTCACAGGACTGGTACCGAGGTGCCCTTGAGCTGTACCTGTATCTCAAGGGCAAACCATTGATGGGCGCCGTTCACTTCATCCATCACCTACTCTCCAAAGATCCAAGCCATAGGCCCACCGCAGGTGAGGCTCCGTGTCACCAGTTCCTAGAAGAGCGGGAATTTGATGCCGATAATTATTCCTTTACCATTTGTGGATGCGAGCATTGAGTATTTCTCCGATACAGCTCAGTTGGACCAATCGCCTGACTGTCAGCAGGGAGCAACTTCCTGATACCGCCCGGTGGGATCAGTCACTTGTGTCCAACAAGCGGGCACGGGAACCCGTGTGTGCATCCTCGAATCAGAACGCCGCCCAGGAAAATCGGATCTTGACAGTTTCTGACCTTTTGCATTCAGCCGCCTGGGGCCCACCATCGTCCATGGAGAAGTCTGCGGCAGACACCTGCAATGATGAAGACTCCCCTCCAGGTCAAAGGCCAGCAAAGCGCCGCGAAAGTCTGGTTCGTTGCAGAGACGAAGATAAAACTTCTGCGCCGCCTGGAAATACAATGGACACCGCAATGCCTGAGTGCGGACATGAGCCGAGGAGTGACGAGCCCGACTCTGGCCAAGCAGACGTCGCTCACGCTGAGCATGACGGCAGGTGCTTTGACTTTGTCAGAGAACCTTGGTTCTTGGAGGGCTACATGGCCTTGTCCTGTGGATGTGACCGACTCTTCTTTACCACGCAGGACCGTGAGGTTAATGCCACCCTTCTCTTCAAGCTGAACGGGGTCCCGACGCAGCGCATGACCCAGTTTCTCTTTCAAAACCGAGACCTTGAAAGGCGCATCCTCAAGCGGAGCCGGCCAGAGGGCGGCACTTACGTCAAGCTCGATGTTGCTAGGCGACTATGCGACCACTTTGGGCTGTCTTGGAATCCAATTGACAGGATATTCGCCCACCGAGCAAGCCGACACGACTCCAGCTACGCAACTACCGGCAAAGAATGCCCATGCAATCGATCATATGTCGAGGGCGTCGGCTCGAGGGAGGGCTACATGGCCTTGTCGTATCGGGGCCGCTTGGTCTTCTTCACGATTCAGGATCGCAAGGTCAACGCCACCCAGCTGTTCAAATTGGAAGGCCGCCCGCTTAACGTGATGCATCGCTATCTGACTCGCCGTAAAATAAAGAAGCACGTTGTCAACGGCGGGGTCGAAAGCGGAACTTGTGTTGTGCTAGACGCTGCTAGAGAACTGTGCACGAAACTTGGGCTTACCTGTGTTCCCGTCGACAAGGTTAAGGCATATCAGCCAAGGCAAGTAGGGTAGGTTCTAGCAGCAGAGTGTTGCCTAAAGATAGTCTGCATTATACGGGTCTAAATCTTGGATGGCGGGCCGGACTTGGCTATTAGGGGACCCTTGGTGGCATTGGCCATTGCCTTCCGTATAGTAACGCCCTGCCAAACACCCTATGCCATATCTTTCTGCCGTAGATGGCTACTTGCCATTGATTCAACCGCGCCTTATTATAACTCTACCTTCTCGAGAAGCCATAACCTTATTATATCCATCGCATCTTCACGACGCCTTTGTTATAACTTTCCAATCTTGACATGGCAATGCGTCGGGAGGTTGGCGTCAGCCATGTGAAACCGATGCCGATGCGGATTTGCCGCCGTTACACGCGTTGCGACAAGTTCATGTGCTGTCGAGATGATGCCCTAACGGACACCTTGCCGACCGAACTCCTCTAGATCGTCTACTTGCCGAGTTTGGGTCCGGTCTTGAAGGATACTGTTGGCCTCTTGAAAGTCTTATGGGCTCGTAGCAGTTGCCAGCGCGAGACCAACTGCAACCTTGAGCTTACCAATTTCAGACAAGAGCGCGAACCCTAGGTGGTTAAAATTGTGCGTGCTTACTTGTGGATGTTTGAGGGGCAAGCTTGACTGACATGCTTCGTTTTAGTTTAGAGAACGCGATTCAGAGTGGTATTATACCTCGGAGCGGGAGTGTCTCAATGATGGACGCTTGAACACCACCACCGCCAATCGTCTCGTTACCGCGACCGGGCGCAAAGTGCTGCTCAACCCTGACCACAGACGCTCAAAGAGACATTGGGCAACTTTTGCTCTTTCTCCCAGGCGGCCCAGGAACTTGTTCGCTGTCCCACAGATGTGCCCATCAAAGCTTGCTTCGGCTGGACCGAGTTACAAGGTTGCGAAACCAACAAGCAGTCAAAGTTATGGCTCTGGGCGTCCCGAAGCACAGATTGAAAGATTGCCGCCCTTGCAGCCGGAATCTCGTGTCACAGAACCCAATGCCGATTACCCTTCGAATGGTGCCGAGCAGGAGGAGGGTGCTTTGTGAACTCGCCTGCTGCTGGGGTGAGAGCTTGACCGACTGCGCCAGGTCATCCAATCAACTGTCGTCTTTCGAGTTTACTGACATGTGGCCAGAGAAGGCATAAAAAAAGCTTCGCCCTGTGCACCACTCGAACACGGGCGCTCGCGGTTCAATTAAAAAAGAGATTGTGCCATCCGGTCGACAACAGGTGATCTCAAAGGTGACCACCTTCGGGCGCCCGTGTTTCAAGGACAACAACCGAGAACATTATAATGGTATATATACCTTTGGAGCCCCTTGCAAACGGTTGTGTGCCGAGTTCGTGAATGATGACGGGTCGCACCCGGCCAGGGTTCTTTTAGCGACGGCGTCATGCTCCATCTGCATCAGGTCCAAACACGCAACGGGGCGAATAGATGATGAGTCATTTGGAGCTGCCTGTGGACTTCAGATGCCTTTAATATTGCCTCTTGAGAGTAATGGGTGCAATAGCTCTCAAAGCAAGTCAAGATTCGCCGAGACAATCGCAGGCGCGCTCTCGCAAACTCCATCGACAGAAATGATAGGATTATAATATGTATGGAAACGCCAAATCAATGGGATTCTTTCAGTCCATCTCCAGTTACTTTGCGGCAAAGAAATCGATGGTAAAGGTCTTGGGAGGAGCAAAGCAAAGTCACTTCTATCAAGAGCACATTACAATCGATCGTCGTTGAGCCCACGTCCACCAATTTCGGTCTGCGTCGCCCTGTCATCCGATGCTGAATCTAGGCTCTCTCGCCAGCCAACTCGAACACGAAGCTACGGTCCTGTTGGCTCGAATAGACGATGCACGTTACTCATCCCCAGTGTTAGGCCGTTGCCGCTCTGTTGGTCGTGCCTTGGTGTCATCTTTGGTCCCCGCGGGGGATAATCTGGGGAAGTTCTGGGGAAGTGGCACACATCGTCACAGGCATTTCCTAGTCGGCCCACATATGCTTTGGAATCACGACTCCCCAGGATTGACGGGGCAAAATGCGGGGAGGCTGGGGATCATGGATACTCCCAACAATGGACTCACCCGTCGGTCGGATTCACCAATAGCATCGATTGCTTCTCTCACCCGACCCAGAGTCGACCGTAGCATCAGCGTCATGTGACGGGAGCCCCAAACTAGCAAAACATTGTTTGTTTAACCGTCAACGGACCCGGTGTGGAGTTGTGACACGAGGCGGACCCGACGTCGGCGGAGCGGAGAACAGGGGTTGAAGATTGCCGAGATAAAGGACGCTCTCGCACGGGCTCGACAAAAGACAGTTGAGCACATACAATCTTGCATCGCCAGCCTACTCGCCATGGCTCCGACTCAAGGCCGACTGGCCAAGTATAACGTGGCCAACAGGCTCTACAAGGGCTCTCTGCTCGGCACCGTCTGCATCGTGGCCGGCATCTCCATCTTCTTCTTCGGCTATGACCAGGGCCTCATGGGCGGCGTCAACACGACGCGCGACTATGCCGAGCGCATGGGCTTTGGCCACTGGGATGAAGAGCAGAGAATTGTGGTTGTCGACAAGCCGTTGCTGCAGGGAGGAATCGTGAGTCGTGTCTTACACGCACTACTCAGTCTCCGAGAAAACTGCTAATCGCACTCTTCTCAGGTAGCCGTCTACTACCTCCCCGGCACTCTCGTGGGCTGTCTGGTAGGCGGCTGGTTTGGAGACCGCTACGGTCGCATCATGACAATTGGCCTGGCATGTCTCTGGTGCATCTTCACCGCCGCGCTGCAGTCGGCAGCCATGAACGCGCCCTGGATGTTCTGCGGTATGTCGGGGCATCATGTCCACCCGTCTAGAGATATTGACGCGCTGACACGTGCAGCCCGTGTTCTCAATGGCTTCGGCACGGGCGTGCTCAACGCCATCACGCCCGTGTGGGCAACCGAGACAGCGGCCCACACCTCACGGGGTCAGTTTGTCGCCATCGAGTTCACCCTCAACATCTTTGGCGTCGTCGTGGCCTACTGGCTGGAGTTGTGAGTCGGCCGCCACTTCCACAAGTGACGCATGCTGATGGGATCGACAGCGGCACTTCCAAATACTATGATCCTCAATCTTCATTCATCTGGAGATTCCCAGTGGCCTTTCAGATAGTTCCTCTCATATTCCTCTTCATCATTGTTTGGCTTATGCCCGAGTCGCCCCGCTGGCTCGTCAAGGTAGGCCGAGAGGACGAGGCCCGCTTCATCCTGGGCCGTCTCCGTGGCGAGCAAGGGGAAGACGGCGTCAAGGCCGAGGCCGAATTTCAAGACATTGTCAACATTCGCAATCTCGAGCAAGAGACGGCCCAACAGCAAAGCTATCTCCACATGCTGTTCGGAATAGGGTCCGGCAAGCTACACACGGGGCGCCGTGTGCAACTCGTAATCTGGCTCCAGATTCTGCAGGAATGGATTGGCATCGCGGGCATCACCATCTATGGCCCGGAAATCTTCTCCATTGCTGGCATTAGCTCCGAGAACCGGCTCTGGGTCAGCGGCGTCAACAACATCACGTACATGGCAAGTTCCCCTCAGTTCGGCTTCGCCTAGCAGACCTGACATCCACGCAGTTTGCGACACTGATCTGTGTCTTTACAATTGATCGCATCGGACGCCGCTGGACCCTGTACTGGGGCGCCATCGGACAAGGCATCTGCATGTTTGCAGCCGGCGGCCTGGCGAGAGCGACCATCAACGCAGGTGACTCGAGTTCTCGAGATCGCATCGGAGGCGCAGCCACGTTCTTTGTCTTTTTGTATACAGCCATATTTGGTGCGACATGGCTCACGGTTCCATGGCTCTACGCCGCAGAGATTTATCCTCTTCAAGTTCGCGCCAAGGGGAACGCTTGGGGCGTAGTCGGCTGGTCGATCGGGAACGGGTGGACGGTAAGCCCTAGCATCGTTCCCTCTACTGTCAGTCCAGGCCAGATGATAGGAATCGGCTGACGATGTCATCAGGTCTTGCTCTTGCCCACCATTTTTGGCCGGCTTCACGAAAAGACGCTCTATATCTTCGGCGGCGTCAACATCCTCTGCGTCTTTGTGGTCTGGGCTCTATACCCCGAGTCGAACCAACGAACCTTGGAGGAGATGAATCTTGTGTTTGCCAGTGACAGCATATGGACGTGGGACGCCGAACGAAACTTTGCCAAGCTCAAGAACGAGAACCCTCAGCTGGTCCAGGCGGCCAAGTCGGGTCATGGTGTCGTTGGCCCCGAATATGCTATTTCGGGATCTCGCAAGGGAAGTCTCGCCTTGCGTGGAAGTCAGCATGTTGCTACGGAAGAGGAGATAGCCAGCAACAAGGGAGATAAACAGGGAACGGAAAAGTCGAGTGTGTCTCATATTTGAAGAAATCGAAATTCGACAGTGTACATTTTGGATGATACATGCGTGGAGCACATGATCTTTTTTTACTCTAAGCCGAAGCTTCAAATTTCCGCTCGAGCGTTAAAAGTCCCTGGTGGTTTACACTTTGGATGAGAGCCTCGTTTGCGTGCCGTTCTGAGAAGACTCTCGACCCTCATCAAAAGACTTTGCAAGAGGTCAATGCTTATAGGTCGACTGCAGCGAGAATTCAGCAAAACTCGACTTTTGGCATGTGAGAAAATAGCAGACTTGTTGAAGACGTGCATTGTGCCGACATTGTGCCTTGTTGCGGATGTGCTTCTACGTCACTTGTGCTTCCACGTCACTCACGAAGACAGACCTGTTGAGGTCGTCTGCCCTTTCCGAGAAGATATCGAGTTGAATCCCGTGCCATGTAGGCGGGAATTTTGCTTGCCCAAAAGATAGTGGCTTTGGTTTCTGTTAGTTCTATTGCACGCCGCGGGTACGATATAACGAGAAACTCGTACACATAACTGGTGGTGAAAGTCGTGTAAAAACGCTCGCAGGGCCACCAAACTTAAACCAACAACTTGGTACTAGCAAGCACTTACAGTACTTGTTTGAGCATACAAGTCATGGAGCATTTGTGAGTGGATCATGCAGCATAGCAGAAAGAAGCGGCTGCAATGTCGCCCTGACATAGTAGCTGCAAGGGCTTCGGAAAGTGGCAGACGCGGAAGCACGTACCTGCGGTCAGAACTCCTTCTGAACTTGATGCTGTGACATCTGGCGTGTTCCTGACCGCATGTTAGACAGTACTGATTGGCGGGAGTGGTCAAAGACGCGCAGGGCTGGCGGTGGACTGTATGTACACGTCTAAAGGCTGTTCATACATGTCGACTCAGCATTCTCGCTCCCTCTCTTTTCTTTTAGGTACACGGATGGTGTAAACGAAGGCTGACAGTGATTGCCTGTTGATCGTCCGGGCCCCCTTGTGTCTGCTATTGGAGGGCCCTTGGTTGCAACAATCGCACTCGTACTCGGTTGCTTGTCTTCACGCCGTTATATCTATGTAATCCTGGTGTGTTGTTGGCTTGCCCGCTATTTTGTTTGGAAGTCTAGACTCGCGGATAAGCTCTTTTAAGCTCGGTTCGTCTAACAATAACCACACCAGTCTGAATCCCGTCCCCAGTTGGTCCAAGCAGGACGATGAAGGTTCGATTTAGCCCGTTCCACAGTTATCCGCCAGTGGTCTGACTACTCTAGCCAGGCCTGACGGCGACAAGGTCGAGTCTCACGAGTACCGGAGCTACCACTGTACTATACATGCATCGCCCCCATCGATCGAAAGCAACCTTTGTCTTCTAACACAACATCTTTAAGCCACAACCGCCTTGTTTAGCGTGCGCCGCACGGCTTTGACGCAGCCCAACAGGTCCTGTCGGTCCTTAGAGCCGGGATGCCGTGGCCGCCCGAGAGGACAAAGTTGGTGCGCCAGTCCGGCCGACGGAGCGAACTCAGAACCTCATTGGTGCCGGCGTGCAGTCAATCGTTCCGCCCCAGATGTTGGCAGTTGGAATGTGGACCAGGAGTCCTGCTTTGGCATCGACGCGAGTCAGATGCAAAGAATCAGGGGCGACACGGGAATCTTAGGGGATTCCGCCTGACAGGAGGATGGCGCAGTCAAAGGGCCTGGCACCGGGCTCTCGGGAGCGTAATGGGGCGAGCACGGGCACCACGAGCTGGGCGCCGCGGTGAAGGTGTCGGGCCGCGAAGAGTCACAGTAAGAGAAGTGCTCGTCGTTGGCAGGAGAGTAGGTCGAGATTTCTTTTGGATCCAGCGTTTGTGAATGAGAATGCAGATTGGTCGTTGGGGACAAAGGCGGAGGCTTACCGGGGGCGATGGGGCAGGTTATGGTGCCCTCGGCGTAGTTGTAGGAGTTGTGTGTCGCACTCGCCCCGCTCGTAGCGAAGAGCCGCTGTTGTCTCCAGGGCAAGGGCGTCATACGGAGATATTGGTGAGAAGCTACGAGGTAGTGGTGGCTGATGCTGACCTACCTGTCTGCGCTTCGAGCACCTGCATGGAGATAGGTGTCAGTCGTTGCACAGGAACAATGGAATGGTGGACTCTCGCCTGGCTGTTTGTGCCTGCGCCACGGAGGCCCAGGAACCGCGCCGTGACGAGAGAGAGTCGGTCTTTGAAGGCGTCTAAGGGCTGACGATGGCATGAATCAGATATGATGGCCCAGGGTCAAAGCCTCCTTTCCACCCTCTCCATGTATGTTGGAGAGTTGAACACTCGCAGAGCACCCGAGGCCCTGCTGCTGCAGTAGATGTATATGCTCTCAAATACTACAGTATTAGGACTTCAAATTGTACAGTACCTTGAGAATCTAACCTTGCAGGCCACTCTCGGCTTGGAAGTGCAGGGATGAGCATAGCGGAGTCTTTGACATCCCACCTCCGCTCAATGTTCTCGACTTCATCCTCCACCTTACCCTTATGGTTTACGCAACCACGCCATCATCAGTACTGCATGCACGACACCGCAGTCAAAGGTACTTACATGGGACAACGCCAGGGCCCAGAATCCAGAATGCGCCAGAGGACACACTTTGACGTCAGGGAGCACAAGGTCCCCGCCTGCCACATCCGCGAGTATGCCGGCTCGACTGCGGCCAGCCAGGAGGAGGTGCTGTATCTACACGTCAAGCAATACACGCCTCTCCCGGCCCTTTCAGGGGCACAGGAGAAAGACGCCCTGACCATCATCGCCACAAATGGTGTTGGTCTCTCCAAGGTAACAGGAAGGCTGTCTTTGTTCCGAGCGCTACAACGCCAGAGCGCTGAAGCCTGAGGCGCAGGAGCTGTACGAGCCTCTATGGGATGAGATTTACCAACTCTCTGCCTCCAATGACTACGCTATCCGGGGAATATGGATCGCAGACGCCGTCAGTCTCGGCATGAGCGGCGTCCTGAACGAGGGCAAGCTGAGCAATGATTGTGCGTCCCAAATTGCTCGCAGGGACATAGGAGTCCTGACTTCGAAACAGATTCGTGGATGGATCATGCTCGGGATCTGCTTCTCATGATCAACCAGTTCCGTGACCAGATGCCCAGGCCGCTCGTCGGCATCGGCCACAGCTTTGGCGGCTGCCAAATGTATGCCTCGCAACAGACCGCACCGTCCCGAGCTTGTGACTGATGCCGCCCTCAGAACCAACCTGGCCTACCTCCATCCACGCCTCTTTGCTTCCATGATCCTCCTTGACCCGGTTATTCAGCTCTCCCCCCCGGTAATGGGCTTCAACGGGCTACCCACAGGGCCTGTCAACTTCACTACCCATCGCAAGGACCTCTGGCCAAACCGCGCAGCCGCCTCACAGAAGAGAGCGTCCAAGGGCTGGGATCCCCGCGTACTCGAGCGCATGATGCAGTACGGCTATCGTGACCTCCCTACCGCTCTCTATCCGGACTTGCCTCCCGACGCCGACCGGTCCGACCCGCCCGTCACGCTGACAACGACAAAGCACCAGGAAGCCCTAGCACAGCTCCGTGCCAACTTCGAAGCCCGACAGCCCGACGGTCGCATCCACATCAACCGCAATACGCATGCTGACATGGATCCGCTAAGCGCCTTTGTGCCGCTGTACCGCCCCGAGCTGCGGAGCACTTTCCATCGCCTGCCCGGTCTGCGCCCACCGACTTTGTGGGTGGTGGGAGAAAAGACTTTTCTTTGTCTCGATGAGATACGCGAGGGCATCAAGATAGCTGGCACAGGTGTGGGTGGCTCTGGAGGCTCACCGGAAGCAAAGGTCAAAGAGGTTATGGTTCACGGCCACGGCCATCTACTCCCCTTTACGGCAGTGGAGCAGATTGCCAAGATATGCGCGACGTGGCTGGGCTGGGTGATGCAGACGTTTCGAGAGCAACAGGTGAAATGGAACCAAGAACGAGAAAATATGACGATGAAAGACCACATGACTCTGAGCAAGACTTGGATGGAGGTGGTCAAGCCGCCGAGTGGTGTCAAGACCAAGCTTCAAGCTTACAATCTCGTCAGTATCTGGCTGTGTACACCAAGCATTAAAGTTCTAGACACTTTGACTTTGCAATCATTGACCGAAGAAGATATCAGCAGCTCCTCGCACTGTCGGTCACGCCGTCGCCTTCCGGACATGAATCAGCGACTCTTCCTTGCCGACAATAAAGTGATCCTTTACCCTGTACTCTCCCTCTCTTACCACCCCCACGGCCTCGAAACCCAGTACCAGTCGCAGGTCGTAGAGCCGCAAGGCTCTCGCGATGCCCAAGTATAACTCGAGAAGAGCGTCGTTGCGCCCGATACACGAGCGGGGGCTGAGACTAGAAGAGCCGAATGCTCCCCCCACCGCTTCCGGAGACTCCCTGTCGTCGTCCTTGACGCCCTCGGCTCCCTTGACGAGTCATCGTCCAGGGTCATACTGAAACGGCCGCCCAGTGCGCCATGTCCCTTGGGCTCGACCACTCACTGGGACCATCACTGCCGTCCGCCTTTGGATCAACATCGTGCCGAGGGCAGCGCACCGGCCGCGAATGGCCAACAGCACTTTGCGACGCGGAGAAAACTTGGGAAAGAAAATAAGGCCGAAGTCCGAGTCTCCAATCGGCGGCCAGCGAGCATCTCCGGCTTGCTCCTCCTCCGTCTTGGCCCTGTTTGTATATCCCGTAGCAGGCTCCCGCGACCTCGTCCCAGGCGGAGTACTGCCCGCGCAGAGAGGCAAATTTCAGGTTTCCCAGCTTGTAAGCATGGCATCGTGATGACAAGGTCTGGCCCTCGTGGAGCACGCAGAACATGTTGACCATGGACATTCTGGGACCGCGGCCCGAATTCAAGACGTCTACCCAATTGCTAAGGCAAATAGGTGGATATGTTATGCAGACGGCTCGTACCCTCGGGCAATGCCCAGTCTGCTTATGTCGCAGCGAGACACTATCAGCGTTCTGTAGTCTATGTTCGGTGGGCTGAAATTTTGCCAACAACATTGCGGCGAAACGCACCGGTGAGGAGACATATAAACTTCAGCACTTGGCTACATGGTACTACCAAATGGTTAGCTGGATATACACAGCTCCGTACGATTGCCGCTTTGGACCCTCTTACTTATAACATACCCCACGAGACTTTGCCTCTGCGTTTGTTTCCCGGGAAACATTAGACTGGTAAAAATAGGTTAATTCTTGAACTTTGGCACGGCTCTTGCGGCATTCGGCCTTACAATATGGTCAAGTTTAGAGTTTGTTTTAACAGCATTCGGAGTATTAACATCCCAGTCTGACCTTGCATCGCACAGATGCGAGGCGAATAATGGATGGACCTGCTTGTATACACATATTCGAGGCTCATGTCAGTTCTCGTCCTTCCTTTCCCCCTCCCTAATGGTCATCTTCAGCCATGGCCTGTCAGTTTGGTCCAGGGCAACCTTCCCACTGCCCTTGCCAGCTACGTCCTCGGTGTGCTCTACATGCTCACTGATTCAAGTATGTAGACAGCCATCAGGCTGAGCCCGGGCCCTGGTATTATCTAACAGGCTCGACGACTGGCAGACATTCTTCTTGGCTGATGCACTTGCTCGGATGCAGCAGCATCAAACTCTAGCTTGAATCTGCCGGCCACGTCGTCTCATCACGCACCAGCTCCACATTCCTCCCCTCCCGGCTACGAAGACGAGTACGTCGGCTGGCTGCTCCGCGATGTCGCCATCTCCTTCACCGTCTTGAAGCATGCCTTCGTCGCCCTGTGATCCTTGGCGCAGCGGCTGGCGCGCAAGCCCTTTGGCCTTGACGGACGACTGGCTCATAATTCCGGGCTTGATCCTGTCTCACACTAAATGTTCCTGCCTTGAGCAGGTGGCCGATCTCTCCAGTCCCGAATGCGACCAAGCTCGCTCCTCTCCTCGAAAAGTTGGGCACTCCGATAGCCTTTCTTTGGGACAAGTCGATACCCGGTGGTCATTGCATCGACATTCCAACTTGCTACCAATAGGGCCCTCTTCCCAACGCCACCATCGACTTGTTCATGCTTATTCTGCCGCTTCCAGTGGTCTGGAAACTCCACACGACGAAGCGAGTAGGATCGGCCTGACACCGACCTTTCCCGCGGGGAGCATGTATATCCCTCTCTGCCTTGATCTTTGTTCGTCGAAGCGAAACCTGTGACTGATGAGAAGAAGTTTGTAGGGGCATGGTGACGTCCATCCTCCGATGCGTTGCGTTTTTTAACAAACGACCCTCTCGAGGACGGGACTTGGGTTTCCGTCATGTTCCCAAACTGGAGCATCATCGAGCCCGGGACGTACTTGATCGCGGCCCGTCTTGCTATCGCCCATTCGCCAGCTATTTTTCAACGGATACAGTAGAACCTCGAACGGGTCCAAGATGAAGGGCCCGAGATTCAACGCAGTCGCCAGCAGCTTATCCCACGCGAGAAAGCCAGGATCGGGCTTCGCACCACTTGGACCAGGCAGGACGAGCTTGAAATGGAAGGCGTGCATGTGCAATCTCCATACGAAGTCCAGCGGCAAAGCGACGAGGAGAACCTGATGGGCCGGAAAGGCCTTATGTCTCATTCACCACGATTTCGGTTCAGTCTCCACAGCGGGAGGGGGGGGAGGACTTTGTCGAGTCCGGCCGGTTAGCCTTGATGTTGGTGGCCATGAAGCGCGTACTTCCGCAGCTAGGCTTGGATCCACGGTTGTCGATGGCAACCGCTCTGATTCGACGGTACTTGAAGTTGGATAAATGAAGGGATCCCCCGCGCCACGCCTGCTCGGGACGGAGAGCTCCACAGAAGAACGTAAACACGGTCACCGATTAGACGATGGAAGATGCCAGGCCGTCCAGTGTCCGGGCGGTAGTCAGGCGGGTTAGCATCAGCGATGCCGCGCTGCACAGGGCCATTCGGCTCTTTGGGATGGAGCGTGTGTCCTCGAGCAAAGACCAAGCCTGATGGAGGGCGCAAGGGTAGGGACTTTTGGCCACGTACTTCGTATGTATGTATGCACATAATAACTAGGGTCAGGGTTTGTACAGCACAGGAGGCAAGCATGTTAGGCCGTATGTGCAGCCGCGTCTGCGTCTGTCCTTTTCAGTCGGTACTTGGTAGGCCAAGGCACCAGCAAAGTGTCGGTGTGTTTGATGGACGTGAACTCGATCGAGATGGGGGTAGAGCCAAAGAAGCCATCAGCGAGGCACGCAGTCGGCCAGGCAGAAGCAGGGGCGAATATGCGAGGTGAGTCGGTGGGCAAGGATGTGTGCTGACGAGCAATAGCGCGACGGCGGCAGCTCCCGACCTTCAACGGCTTGTACAGGGAGACGTGTCATTGATGCGTGACCCTGGTCATGCTTGGAGGCTGGTCGATCACGAGGGTTGCACTCTGCTCGACAGTTGGTGTCGTCATGACACTGTGCTTGTGCAGTCTGCGTGTGCGTTGTCAGCTTGAGCCTCGCACAGTTTAACGACGCGGATGCGGAAGGGTGACTGGACGAGTGGGAGGCGGCAAGTTGCATTTGACATGCAACGCCTTTTTCTGAGCATTCATAATAATATGCGCCGTCGGATCAGGGAGAGTTGTCGGCGGCACAATCAGACACGTTGTCAAAGAAGAATTAACGAAGTCGGCAAGGATCAACAACTTGCCGAGCCCTCTCTGCCGCTGACTAAGTTCCAGGGCCTCTAAGCAGGCCCCCTTGACCCTGGTGGGTTGGTACGTACTACCGGTACGCTCTTCAACAGACCTCACCCTGGTTGCAGATGGCATCGTTTTCGGCTTCATTGACGTCGTGTCAGCTAGTACTTTGAATCAAGAATGGCCTTCGAAGCTTGCCTTCACCGCCAATCTGCGCGCGCTACCAACTGCTTCCGCCGCCACACCAGCAAAGTCGCCAGCAGAGACACGCCCGTCACGACGCTTCCCAGGACCATCTGTAACCGGGAGCCTTGCGCAAACACTTGACGGGCCCAGACCACCTGCAAGTCGGCGGGTAGATGGGACATGGAACTCGACGTTCTGCGGATGCTCCGGATTTTCTCCGGGGCAAGAAACGGAGCCAAATGCGAGCACGCGTACACATTGAGGATGTTGGACCCAATGGCCAGCCCTATGGCACCTCCCAGCACCCGGATCTGGATCATGGCCCCGGTGGCAGTCGCTGCAGCCATTGTCGGCGGCCGCTCGCCTGTCTAGACGGGAGTGAAACCTACCCAGGTCCCTCTTCTCGACGGTAAAGAGTACGCCGAGCATCAAGATGCCAAACGTCACCCCGACGCCGAGTGGGGCGATGACTTGATATCCGTATTGCGCACGCTCGAGGTCTGTAGTCGACGGGATCGAGGCGAGTAGTCCCGTGCCAATTAGCTGCAGGGATGACCCGAGGACAAGGATGTAGAAGACTGGTATCAGTAATCTGCCTGCAATTACGGTCGTCATGGATGCAACGGGCCCTCCCAGGCTGAACTGGAGAAGACGAATGCCGGCATCCACAGCCGTCAAGCCGTCGACATTCTGGAAGCGCTGGGGCAAGTCAAAGGTAATCGCGTTGAATAGCATGCCACGCAAGAAGGATATCATTCAAGCAGTCAGCCCAAACCGTCCCGCCGTCACAATGGAGTGACTCACCAAAACATACCCATCCAGGCTCGATTGTTCACAAACCAACATGGAAATATTCGAGGCGAGATCCCGTGTTCTTTCTTGATGACGTGCCGCTCCCAGGCCGCAAAGCATATCCAGCTGATCCCCGACAAGATGAGGAAGCTAACCACCAGGGGCGAGGACCACGACATGCCATCGTCTCCTGATCGAAGAACAGCCGTCACGAGAAGCATTGTGGCAACCAAGAGCAGCGCGGCCCCAACCAAATCAATCTCTCTCAACAATGGCTTGGAGACAACTCGGATGTTCATGATTGGGCAACCTGCGGGGGATCGAAAACACCGGCATGAGAAACGTCAGGGCTCCTGGTGGAATACTGCGGAGAGACTGGTCAGATGATGGACGCACAATCAGATGGGGCATCATACTTGAGAAGGAATCTCCACCGACGTCGTGCTCACTGATCACGCCGCCAAGAAGTGGCGCAGAAAGCGTCGCCAGCGCGATGAATTACGTGAGAAGGCCGCCTCCTGCGCCATACCAACGTGGCGGTCCGGCCTCGAAGAAGGCAATCATGGCCATGGAGTGGCATTCGGCCGCTCCGATGCCTTTCAACGCGCGACAGGCAAGCCTGCCATCGACCAGGGTCAGTGCTCACGACCCAGAATTGGACTCGGCCGGGGGCTACACACAGAGCAGGCATCGATTGGGCGACGCCACATCCAGCCGAGAAGCAGGTGAAGAAGCCGACGGCCCCGATGATAGAAGACTTCCTCCCCAGGAGATCGCTGAGTTTTGCCAATAACACGATGAATGCTGCAACTCGTCAGCCGCTTGCGGCGACATGCCGAATCCAGCGAAAAATGGCAAGTTTACGTGAGTAGGTAACGAGATATCCCGAAACGAGCCATCCGATCTGGCAGAATCCATCTAGGTCGTTCGTGATGGCGACGAGCGAAGTACTCAAAGTCGTCACCTCGACGTTGACGAGGTACAGGCAGAGGCGCAGTCTTCCACATGATCGTCAGCGACGTTGGATACCGGCCAACACGAGCAGGGGCATACGTCACGAGGTGAAAATAGGCGGCCGGGCCAAGAAACGGCTTCGTATCTACATCCGACCTCTGCGGGCTCGTCCGGGGTTCAAACGGCGGCCTCTTCATGGCTTGGCCCCGAAGCCGTGTCGGCAGCCGTCGTTGTCTTTTTATCCACCATCGGACAGCGTGTGCGAGATGAAAGTTGTCGACGATGAAGCGCTGCCGACCCAGCAAGTGAGGTAGTGGATGAAAAGTGGACAATGTCTGCTGGCGACCGGCGCCCCTAGTTCGTTGCCAACCAGAATTGACGGCAGAGCGACACATCAAGATATCTGGAGGTAGGGCCCGGCGTGACCTTTTCAGGAATACCGTGCCATGCACAATGATCTGTCTGTTTGTGTTGTGTATCCATACAGGTGCAACATCGAATGCGGGTGCGTGACAAGCTCTGTCACAAAGTGGCCATTGGATGCTTGTGAGCTGGCGACGGCCCGGAATTGTGGAAGCGCGCACCGGTGAGATGCTGCCTTTGCAGGCAACGAGTACAGTCAGTACACGCATGTTCCTGCGACTGAGACTGGATGGATATTGCGAGTGCTTGAAAAATAAGGATGAAAGGCAATAGTTATGTATACGTAACGTCCAAACTGTTTTCTCCAAACTTCATACCGCGACCTCATATCGTTGATATCGTTGTTCCAGTTCAGATGATAGCATGAACTTGAAGTCCCATACCGCGAATTACGAACCAGCTCCTACAGACAGTAATAGCATGGAACGACTAAAGAGGCATGCAGAAAATAGAGCCAAGACAGTGCCGAGGGAGGGTCCTTCGGCTTCGGCCCCATGTAGAATCACTTCCCTTATAGAGGGGGCGCAGACTGCTTGAGATTCAATCTCAATATGCTTCTCGCCTGATTATATCTATGTGTCAACCTATTTCATACATATCTGTATCCACTGTAGGCCTCCAAATACCAGGGCGCAACTTAGGACACTGCTGACAAGCATACACACGCCGTCCACCACAAGCTGTCACATGTTGTGCCTGAAACCTCATCAGGATTGGAGATGTAAGCCACTACTAGATCGGCATCAAATCAGACAAGAAGTCCATAATAATTGCATAAGAGTACATGCATCGTGTGTGGCGGAGAGATGCCATAAATCCACAGAATGTTCACTCCCACTTAATTCTACGTGTAACAACGATTCCTATTCCAACGACTACTCCCCGAAGCCAGCAGAACCAGGCGTGGTGTCGAAAAGAATTTCGTGGAATAAGACACAGGAAATCAACAGTGTCTTTGGCACCTTGAAACATTGCAAACCCAACGCCATGGAGTCTATGCCACCAGGCTCTACGGCCGCGCAAGGGGATGCCACGGATGCGATCGCGGTCATCGGTCTCTCGCTACGATTCCCCGAAGATGCAGTCTCCAGCCAAGGTTTCTGGAAGATGATTTTGGAAAAGCGCTGCGCGTCGAAGCGGTTTCCGGACGATCGCATCAACCTCGGTGGAATCTATCATCCAGACAGTACTAGACATGACACAGTCAGTCCACTTCGCCATTTGTGTCCCCCATGACTCCGTGGGGGCCCAATTATATCGGCTCTGACTGTCAGATTAAAAGGTCGCTCTGCAAGGGGGTCACTTCCTCAGCGAAGACGTTGCTGCTTTTGATGCCCCCTTCTTCTCCATCTCTGCCAGCGAAGCCGCCTCGATGGACCCCCAACAACGCCATCTCCTTGAGATTACCTATAGGGCCCTTGAGAGCGGTGGGTATTCTCCCGTGGTCATTAGACAAATGCTGAAACAGGGACAGCGGGTATCTCGATGCAGGATATTGCGGGCTCCAACACCTCAGTCTTCACTGGATGTTTCACAGACGATTACAGAACCATGTACCACAAGGATGTTGATGACGCCGCCCCCTATGCTGCCACGGGTCTAACTATCGCGCTCAATGCAAACAGAGTAAGCTGGTTCTTCAACACGCGCGGGACAAGCGTCAACATCGCTACCGCGTGCTCAAGCAGCCTCGTAGCGTTGGACCTTGCTTGCCAAAATCTCCGGTCGGGAGAGTCAAATCTGGTGCGTGGCAATCGTCTGTTTAATGTTGCAGTGAATGAGCATGATTCTGATCGCTGAATGACGAACGCAGAGCATCGCATCGGGTGTCAACCTCATCCTGGGTCCCGATCCCTTCCTCCTTCTTTCTGACATGAACATGCTTTCAAGAGACAGTCGGTGTTGGAGCTTCGACGAGCGTGCAAATGGCTACGCCAGGGGTGAAGGGGTAGCGGTCCTCATTCTGAAGCGAGTATCCGATGCGATCCGAGATGGGGATACGATTCGTGCCGTGGTGGCTTCCACCGCTTCAAGCCACGATGGCTTCACGCCCGGCATCGCCCAACCCAGTCAAAGGTCCCAAGAGCTGCTGATGAGACAGTGTTACGCCAAGGCTGGCCTAGACATGAGTCGAACCGCGCTCTGTGAAGCACACGGAACGGGGACGCCTGTAGGAGACGTAAGTTTCGGGTCTACGGGCATCAATCATTTCACTGACTATGCTGTTCATGAAACTAACGAGAGTTTTAAGCCGATCGAAGCAAACGCTATAGGAAACGTCTTTCGTCAAAGACGTGCATCGGACAATCCATTATACGTGTATAAACTCCCCTCCCTGCCACTTCAACGCTTGAACTAACCAACTTTAGGCAGCGGTGCCGTCAAATCTAACATCGGTCATCTCGAGGGCGCTTGCGGGATTGCTGGGGTCATCAAGGCCATCCTGTCATTGGAAACAGCAGTCATCCCCCCCAACACGAACATGGATGTTGTGAACAGCAAAATAGACGAGCAACATTTGCGAATCAAATTCCCGAGGTCTGCGATTCCGTGGCCTAGACCTGGACTTCGACGAGCCTCGGTCAACTCGTTCGGATTCGGCGGTGCCAATGCCCATGCTGTTGTTGACGACGCCTATCACTTTTTGCTGGAGCACAACCTGAAGGGAAACCATAACACCGTTACAGAAGTTCCTCTGCTTGGCAGTGTGTTTGATTCAGGACGCATTAGTTTGAGCCAGCGCTGGCTCGCTCCACTTTTCAAAGGACAAGGACCCAAGGAGATGACGCCCAAGATCCTTATATTTTCGTCCGCAGATGAAAGAGGCATAGCCCGTGTCACGCTGGCTTTGGCCGATCACTACCAGAATCTAGAGTTTGCTGAGGGTTGGGAAAGAGACGAATATCTGAGTCACGTTGCATACACCCTGGCTTCGCGAAGGAGCAGGCTCGCTTGGAGATCATTTTCGCTTTGCTTCACGCCGCGGGCCCTCTGCCTGCCAGAGACAGCCATCTCCAAGCCGCTGCGGCCAAGCAGGCGGCCAAAGCTTGCCTTCATCTTCACCGGCCAGGGAGCACAATGGGCTCAGATGGGCAGAGAGCTCCTCGACTGCGATGTTTTCCGCCTCAGTCTCGAGGCTGCCGAGTCATACTTGCATTCGCTGGGGTGTCAATGGCCCCTCATAGGTCTTCAACTCTGGATGACTTGACCGAGATGAGTATTGGCTAACTACGGCGCAGAATCTCTCCTTGAACCCGCCGACTCCAGCCGAATCCACCATCCTCAGTTCAGCCAGACCCTTTCCACGGCTTTGCAAGTCGCTTTGGTGGAACTGCTTCATGCCTACGGGATCAAGCCAAGCGCTGTCATCGGCCACTCTTCAGGCGAGATTGCCGCGGCGTGAGGTCACCGACTCCCAAGACGAAACTATATGCTAACTGGTGGCATTCCATAGGTACTGTGCTGGATCCATATCACGCGAATCGGCGTGGAAGATTGCTTATATGCGCGGGCTCCATACTTCGAAACTCTTGGACTGCGCTGTCACCATGGCAATGATTTCAGTCGGAGTAACGGCGGAGCGTGCGAAAGAGTTTTTGGACTCAATGCCTCCAGCATCGGGACACCCTCTTGTCGTGGCATGTCGGAATAGCCCGGGGAACGTGACCATATCGGGAGACAAAGTACAGATTGATGCCCTGGTGTTGCTGCTCGAGAAGTCACAAGTATTTCATCGAAAGCTCAAGGTCGACATTGCCTACCACTCGCCGCACATGGAGCAAGTGGCCGGAGACTTCTTGGACTCGGTCCAGGACATTCAACCGGGACACGAGGCTGGCACCTCTGCGATCATGATCTCAACGGTCACGGGGCAGAGAATATCGACTGACAGGATTTGCCAGCCGTCCTACTGGGCGCAAAACATGGTTTCTCTCGTGCGTTTTGACGAGGCTATCGAGAGAATATGCGCGCATAGCGTGCGCAAGAAGCTTGATGGAAGCCACTTGAACAGGCTTCAGGTCGATGTCTGTCTCGAAGTCGGGCCCCATCCCGCACTGGCCGAGCCCGTCCGAGACATTACCAATCTCAGGAACAAGCAGATGGTGTATCTCTCTTCCCTTCGTCGGGGGTGCTCGGCTCAAGTATCAATTCTCGAGGCTGCTGGCCGACTACACTGCCTGGGATTTCCCGTGGATATTCACTACATCAATCATGGTGATGTGCCGAGAGCGCACCTCATGGCTCTCTGTGACCTTCCGGGATATCCCTTTGACCACTCCAAAAGCTACATGCACGAGAGCCGGATCAGCAAGGGCCTGAGACTCCGCTCGCAGCCAAAACTGGATCTCCTCGGGAAACAGGTGGGCGACTGGAACCCTCTAGATGCGAAGTGGCGTACCTTTCTCAGATTGTCAGAGTTGCCCTGGATGGAAGATCACAAGGTGGACACCCTATACCCTTTACAAGCTCCTCAGCATGTTACTAAAGTCTGCTAGATCAACGGGACAGTCCTCTACCCGGCTGCCGGCATGTTGGTCATGGCTATCGAGGCAATAAAACAGCTGGCTTCGGAGTCCAACCATCCAATCGCCGGCTATCAGCTTCGAAACGTCAAGCTCAAAACAGCTCTAGTCATCCCTCCCACGGCTCGGGGAGTTGAGGTACAATTTACCATTCGTCAGACCTCGAACTCTTCCAACAAAGATGTCGGCTGGTCGCTGTTCAGGCTATGCTCGAACGTCGACGGTAGGTGGTTGGAAATTTGCGAAGGATT